TTTTATCATCCCGATATTCATCTTACATGTTAATAGTATCACAACAAGATATAAGTATGCAAAAGGGCATATACTGGTATATAGTTTTTCTTACTTTTATCATCCCGATATTCATCTTACATGTTAATAGTATCACAACAAGATATAAATATGCAAAAGGGCATATACCGGTATATAGTTTTTCTTACTTTTATCATCCTGATATTCATCTTATGTATTAATAGTATTACAACAAGTTATAGTATCTGATATTCAATTTATATGTTAGTAGTATAATACTGTAATAGAAAGATATCGGTAGGTATAAAGGCATATAGCAGTATATATATATTTTTCTTTTTTATTCTAATATTTAACTTATACATTAGTATAATAGAAAGATATTAGTAGGTATAAAGGCATATAGTGGTATTTATTTTTTCTTCTTTTTTATCCCGATATTCAACTTATATTAGTATAACAGAAGGATATAGATATACAAAAGGTATAAGATATATTTTTCTTTTATTAATCTGATATTCAACTTATAATATATTAGTATTATAGCAATATACAGTATATACAGCTTTAATATATTTTATTTATTATAAATAAAACAAAAACATATGCAAATACATATTCAAATATATATTAAAAAAAAAAACTGCTTTTTTTTTTTAAATTTCTTCCTTCTCCCAATTTTTTTTCGAAAAAGCATTCTAAAAATTCATCAGATCTCGCAAAAAGATCTGCAACTTCTTCATCTTCAAGAAAATCATTGGTAATACTATCAGCACCTATATAGAAGACAAAATTAATAATTCGAATATTGTATTAATTAATACATTTTATCTAATTACCTAATGACAGACTAGATTCTCACCTTCTGATATTAGAGAAGGATTTCGATAGAGCATTGAATTTTCTACTAACAGAAAATCTAATACCAGAAAATATATACAATAAATAATAATTCGTAAAAGTTACTAATATTAATATAAAAATTAGCTGACGCATACCAATTTCCATCTTTCTATTTTTTTTATTAACTTCTTTAACTTCTTCAACAATAACCTCTTTACCCTTTCCTTTATCAACAGCCTTCGCTTTATCTTCTTTTTCTTCTTCGACAACCTCTTTTGCTTTTCCTTTATCAACAACAGCCTTAAAGTTATCTGGTTGATTTAATACTATTTGTCAAATTCAGAGCCAAGGTTAGTTTCGCATAGTTATAATTAAACTAACAGTATTATTATTTTTTATCTCTAGTAGTCAGATTTTTTTTCGATTTTGAACATGTACTATAGTTACTATATATGCTGTGGTGGATGTTGCTGGGCCCAGATACAACAGGTATATAGTTACTATCGTTGTTGTTAATATTAGGGTCGTTATCATTATTAGAAGGAAGATTATTGTTATCAGGAGGTGAGTTGGTAGTATTATTATTGGGAGGTGAGTTGGTGGTATTATTATAGGGAGGGAGGTTTATGGTGTTATTAGGAGGGGGGTTGGTGGTATTATTGGAAGGGGGGTTGATATTGGTATCAGGAGGGGGGTTGTTATTAGTATCAGGAGAGGGGCTGTTATTGGTATCAGGAGGGGTTGTTATTGGTATTAGGAGGGTTGTTATTGGTATCAGGAGGGGGTTTTCGTTATCATTATTAGGAGGGAGTAATCACTATCAGTTATGCAACCATCTGGGTTACTATATGATCTTGATACAAAGCAAGGTGGTATATTACTCGGTGGAATAGCATTTTCATCGATTAAACCAGGGGCATTTGCCCACTGGTATCGTGTTGACTTCTTTTTTACAGCTGCTATATTTTCGGTTGACTATAAAATTTTCTTCAACTAGAGGAAAAAAAAAAAAAATTCGTTTAAAAAAAAATCATATATATATTTATATATATATATATAAAAGAAAAAAAAAAACATTGCTAAAGAAAAAAAAAAAACAGTTTTCAATTTTATCATTTATTAGACTTAGCCATCAGTAAAATACAGATTTTTTTAAGCCTGAATTTGATGATAAAATTGAAAACCTGAAGCCTCATTTTCTTTACATTAACATAAATTCAGACCAATAAAATTAGATAATGCCAATATTTATATAGGCTTAGATCTTACCTTACGAGATCGCTAGCATTTGTCTAATACTTTGACCACCCAGTCATCATCATTATCGCTATCCCGGTTTTCTTCTCTCTACTCCCTATCAGCCTTTTCAATATCAGTTTCGGAAATTTCTTCACTTTGGTAGCCCCGAAACTGAATTGCCCAATGAATATCAGCAATTGCTTGTTCTTTGGAAATATTAGTCAGTAAATTTCCATATATTGAGGGGCTTTACGTTGCTAGTAAATGTTTAAGGCCTCTCTTTTGCCTTCTGAGTTACTAAAATAAGTTAAAAAAAATAAAAAATTATAATACAAATAAATAACAAAATAAATAAATTAAATTAAATTAATGAGTAAAAATAAAATTAAAAAAAAAATTTAAAATTAAATAATAATAATAATAATAATAATAATAATAATAATAATAATAATAATAATAATAATAATAATAATAA